TGCCTGCCTGTGGGTCACCCACATCCTAAACACCTGCTGTCTTCAACCTGGGAGAGTTTGCTGACGCCAGCGACCTCCTGAACTCTCGGCCGGACCACGTCGGCATGGCCTCCCTGGATTCTCCAGCTCTGCCTGCCACAGCTGAGCCATCTCCATCTGCACCACTGCCCTGGTCAGTACGGTCATTTGAGGCCCTTTCTTGGCTTCTGAATCACTCACTTTCTTGGCTTATGAGTCTTCACTTTTTACAGGGTTGATGTCTGTGATCCCAACAAGACGGGTGCTCACAGCAGGAGGGCGTGGGGGATGGAGAGGGTGCATGGATGAACATAACTTCCACGCCAGCTGGCACAGCAATTCCCAGCACGGCGAGGACTTGGTGAGCACTTCCGGATGTACAAAGCAGTCCCATGTGACGTAGTCGGGGACATCTGCCACTCTCCAGCAAAAGGCAAGGGAACAGGCGGGATGGTAACAGCTTCCTCTCTGCCCTCGCGGGTCGGACGGCCAGCGGGTGTGTGAGAAGGGGGGGAATCAGAGCTTCTGAGTGGGGTCCCCTTTGCCCTCTCTTAGTGCTGAGAAAGTACTTGTAGCAACCGCCTTGTGACAGCAGCCCCTGCCACAGCGTTCTCAGGAAAGAGCTCACGCATAAAGTCAGCCATCTCAGCTTGGCTGACCAGCAGTGCGGCCACCTCTGGCACAGCAGCCTGTGGATCAGTCTGTAAGGAGGGCTGCATTCACAATCTCTATCCAAAATGTATTTTTTTCTACATGCAGAAAAACATATGCTCTTGCACAATTAAAAAATATATATATATGGAAACCAGGATTTCTACTCTGTGGGTCGTCCCCAATGCCGTCTCCAGAGCTCTCCCCAAACCCTAATCATGGTCCCTAATCTCTACAAAAAAGGCAGGAGCCTGAGGATGAGGAAGAGATGCTGAGAAGGCGGGGGTAGGGGGTGGTACCTGAGCCATCCAGCACAACCACGGCTCCATTTTACAGAGAAGCAAACGGAGATTCTACACGACTGTCGAGTGTGCAAGCAGATTTGGTCATAAATCCTGCCTACCCTGTGTGTGGTGTAACCTGACCCCACCAGCCTTCGGTGTCCATGCTTGTCAGAAGGAAATGCCATCCCTCCTTGAGTGTTTTGAGAGCTGGGTGGGATAAGGGCCAACTAATGCACCCACCCACACACGCATTCCAAGTTACGAGTCTACACAAGGAGCAAAGTCGTGTGTGCATGTCCCTGCCAGTTCCTTGAGGAGTCTTTGTGACACCAGAGATCTTCTCACACAGGAGGAGGCAGAGCGAGGGAAGGAGGGAGCCAATGGAGGGGGTGGTGAGTGACTTTGGAAACCACACTGCCATCTGTCCCTGGGGGCTTCTTTCTGAAGCATCTGCAATCAGGGACGACTTGCAGCCAGCTGGGCAGGGCTGCTGGAAGGTGTGGGGACCACTGCAGGGACTCGCTGTTGCTGCCATGGCCTCGGAGACCATAACGACCAACACGGGCATCAAATCCCTTTGAGAGTCCCTCTGTCCACACCATTCTGCTCCGGAGCAAAGACATCAGTTGGGCATTTGCACACACAGGCCTGGGGAAGTGATATAAGCACAGAACAATGGTGATGATGCCACACAGTACTCAAAGTGCCCTGGTGAATCCCTATGCCCACACTCCTATAGAGGGCACCCCTCTGGAAGCCAGTGGGTTTCTCAGGAACCTACCCCGACCCCACAGACAGGTGGCACTTTCCTCATCCTCGTGGGGCTGCTCTTGTCTAACCCAGCCTTCACCGCACCTTGCCATGCTGGCTCTCCCAGCAGCCAAGTTCAATGACGAACTTGGCCCACAAAGTTAGAGCAATTCAGGGGACAGCTATTTAACAGCTCAGAAAGGGGCTGAGCTCAAGGCAGTTCCTTTCCCCGAGGGAGCTGCATTTTTCTAAGATTATTCTTCCTTGGACTGGCTGCTTAGCTGCTGGCCGTCATTTCCCCTTTGGGTGGGAAAGTTCTTCCCTTCTGCACTGATTTGCATTATGATTTAAGCCTCCCCCCCTCCCTGACCTTCATCTGCAGATTTCACAATGAAAGCGAGACCTCTGGAGTGCAAAATCAAGGCATATCAACTCAGTGCTCAGTTTAGAACTGTGGCTGGGAAGCCTTGAGCAGCAAGAACACACAGGCAGAAAAAGAGACCCTATGGATTTCAGCATCCATCACCTTGGGCCCAAACACCTGCAGTAAGTGCAGGGACAATGGGGACAATGGGGAGAGTAACAATTGGATACAAAAGTTCAACAATGGCCTCACGAACAGGGGGCTACTCTCCAGTCTGATACAGGCACACACAACCACACATGGAACACAGTGTTGAGAACCCTACATTCTGCCACAAGGGCTAGAAACAGCCCCCCTTCCCTGCCCTCCAGGGAAGAAAAGAACATTTCTGGTCCTTGCAAAGGACACCAGTCTGTGAGAGATCTTCAAAAAGTTGATACACACTGCAGAAGAACTATGCATGGATTTCAAAGTATCTGGCAGCAGCCTAAACTGCATTTTCCACTAGCTTCTGAAAGTACCCTCAATATTTGGAGGCCCAAGCCCCAAGGGCCAGATGCTGACCACCAGTGCCCCATAGCCACAAGAAGACACAGGTGATTTTGCCAGCCATCAAATGAAGGGCTCCTGAGTAGCAAATACAAAAGCACTGGTGCGGGGCCTGGAGGGCCATCTGTCAGGGGTGCTGGGGGGGGGGACATCTGGCAAGGGCGACATCTGCACGGGATACAATGTGGCTCACCTCTCAGAGGCCCTTCTTTCAGCCTTGAGACCTGCTGTTTTGTGAGACAAGTGCCAGAACCCAAGGGATACCTGGTAACAAAATATAAACTCCTGACCATCCCGCCCCTTGGATCGCTGACTTGCCCACGGGTTCTCTCCTTTGTTGTGTATTTGCTCTCCCTCCCTGACTTTGCTGGCGTCACTATCAGACAACAAGCATAGGTCCTGCCTGGGTGCTTAGCCATATTCGGTCTGCAGCAAGCCATCAGTTTCTTCTCTCCTCTGCTCTCCCATTTCCAAAGTTCCACCTGACACTGGGGCTTGGGCCAGCTGAAGCCCAGGCACTGCTTGAGCAGCCTTGGTGGAGCCACCGGAAGAATGGGCACCTTAGCTAAGAGAAGGACAACGATCTTCTACCTCGCCCCCTCCCTCCCTGCTTTCTGGGACTCTCCAGTGCATTCTGGCCAGGGCCTCCTGTACCCAAAGTCTCCATTATGCTCACACTGTACCTCCCCACATCAGATCACACTGGGAGAGGCTGCCAAGGCCAGACCAACAGTCACCTGCCATGGCTACGAGGACAGTGAGGGTCACTTGAGGTCCTGATTCTTTACCACTCTGTAACCCCCATCCAGGATCTGTGGGGTTTCCCAGCTGTGAAGAAGAAAGGAGACTCCTGCACAGCCTCACTCATCAGGGACACCCCCAATTCCCCCATCTCACCATCCCTTTCACGCCCTCCCTAACAAGGCCAGGGCCTGTGGGCCAAGGAGATCTGAAATATCAGCCAGGGGAAACTACCCCAGCCTCCCGGTGCCCCTGTTGAAGAGTCCACTCCCGCACCCCATTTTCTGCATATAAAGGCTCACGGCCACACTCCAGCCTTGAGTGCTCCTGCGTTACTGCTGCAGCCAGAGAAAGTCAGGAAATGTTTTCGTTTATGATCTGGGCCCCTTTCCTGCGGACACTCCAACAGTGTTGGGAGTCGCCTAAAGTCAAGGTCCCAAGGGGCCCTGGCTCCCGCAGCCCTTTGGAACAGTGTCTTTTTCCATTCACTGCCGCTCGGTATTCCTCGGTTTCCCAATCTCACACCAGCGAGTTGCCAATTCACAAGGACCAAGTGTCTTCCCTGAGTTCAGGGAGCGCCCCTGGGTGGGCTACAGCCAGCTCCTCCGCACAGCAGAAAGCTTCTGCGACGCGTGAAACTTAACACCAACGACTTGGCACACCTGCCAAGAGCCTGGCCTCTCCAGGCCACCTCCATGTCACTAACAGGAAGACACCCACTCCCTCCAGTGCGGGAGGGACTCTCTTCAAAGCACTTTCCACTCACCTTTTACTTTCATTTTGTCACATCATCACTAGAAGGCCTAGCGGGAAGGGGGCTCATGACTTCCATTTTGCAGATGGAGAAACTGAGCCCAAAAGAGACAATCTCGACGGGCCACAATGGCACTGCCTTTGGGGTTCCACTTTAGTTCTTTGCTTTTCTTTCCAGACCCAAAGGAGGACCTTGGCCGCTAAAGGTAGCAGGGATGGGACAGGCAGTGGCCTCGCCTAGAGAAGCAGCTCCCAGAGAAGGAGGTGGGCGGATGTCCCAGACATGAAGGGTCCTGTGTGCGGGTTTGTCTTGGGAGGGGAAGAGGGTGTTCAACCTTGCACACACACAAACACACACACACCCTAACCACGCCCCAGTTCCTCTGCTTCAGAGTAGAACTAGTGGATGATTTGGTTCCAAACTACATCCTTTGTCCTGGCTAAGGTCCTCTGCACAAAAACCCTTCCATGAAGAAATACGTTATTTAGGTTTGAAAAGTTGAGCTCTGTACCTGGAGAGGCCAACTGCGTTGTATAGTGGGGGAAAAGAGAATGGCACCGGTCAGCGGCCGGACACCAGCCCCAAGGCGGGACACGGCCACGCGGGGGTCCGTTCCCCCTCCCCTTCCCCTGGTCCCACAGCGGGAGGGGTGGACGAAGGGCACCCCCACCGTAATAAGTTTGCTTCTAAAAGATGGGTAGCAGACAGGATGGTCACACCCCCGGGGCAGCCACCTGCATAAGCTTCCCTCCCTCCCAACCTCAGGGTCCCCACGCACGCACGCCAGGGTCGCGCAGCGCCGAAGGGCCTAAAAGGGCTGGGGACGCGACCCCCACCCCTCACCCGCCTGCTCCAGGCTTGTGCAGCGCCCAGCCGGCTTCTTACTCACCCGTGCTCCGGCCTCGGGGGACCAGACCCGGGTGTCCCCGCCGTGTTGGGGCGCCCAGCCCCGGGGCAGTTTGCCTGGGGTCTGGGGGCGTGGGCCCGTCACGATGCTCTGGCCCCCACTCAGGGCCGCCCTCGGGGGTCTGAGGCATCCAGGCGCCGGTCAGGGGCGTGCCAGGCACGGGGCTGGCCGGCTGGCCCCGCGTCCCGCCGGGGACCATCGTCGGTAGCAGCAGCAGCAGCAGCAGCAGGAGCGGCGGCGGCGGCCACCGCGAGGCGCGCAGCGAGGCCATGGTGGCGGCGCCGCCCGCGCTCACATGCCCGGCGCGCGGGGCGAGCGCGGGGCAGCCGCGGGCGCGAGGGACGCGGGGTCGGGAAGTGAGCGAAGTGGGGCTGCGAGCGCGCTCCCCGCCTCAAAAGTTGTGGGCGCCGCGGGCGGGCGGCCGGGGGCGGGCGGGCGCGGCGGGGGCGGCCCGCGGCGCCGCTCCATGCTAATTAGCGCGGGCGGGTCGCGGGGCGGGCGGCTCCTCCTCGGGCTGACATCACCCGGCCGGCGCGCGGCCCGGGGGCGGGGAGAGGCAGGAAGGGGGCGGGGGCGCAGCCCGCCGTGGCCGGGACCCGCCGCTCGCGCGCGCCCCTCACCGCCGCGCTCTGCGCTATGGGAGAGAAAAGAAGCCTTCCCGAGCAGAACCACTTTTTCCAACTCCCTGCATCGGCGAAAGGCGGGTCCCGGCGAGTTGAGTGGTGATCAGCACTAACTCGATTACACCTAGTACTCTCTGGCACGGGAGGGATGTGGGGCCCCGCCCTCCACTCCCCGCCTGGCTATTGCCTAGCGGATTCGAGGCACCTTCCTCCCCAGCGCCACCCACCTCCTTTTGTCGCCCTCTGGCCGGGACGGCAAGCTTCGGTTCCTCCCCAAGCCTGGATCCTGGCCCCATCCGACCCGCTGCCTTTGGCTCACACCAAGAGTTGCGCGGAGAAATCACGGCCAGGATGGATTACCAGCCAGGCCATAGGAAAGAGAAAAGGAAAAGTTCAGGTCCCCCTGGGGCGAACTCAGGAAAAGGGCTGCAAGCTACAGGTTAGGCGAATAAAAAATCAAATGTCTAAACTTTAGGATTTAGGAGAGGCTCATGGTGGGAAAACAATTTGCCCAAGACCCCGAAGCTAGACCCAAAGATTACCATGATTTATCGGGGAGTGACTGGGACTGCGCTGATTCTGTTCCCAGCCCCCAACTTTGCAACAACTCAGACACCCGAAATGAATACCGGACCCCCCTGAGTTGAATTGGAGACTGCATCTAATTGTCTAATGTTCGTGGACACATGAGGCCCCAGCCGCTTCTCCATCCCATCTCTCCTCTCCTGCCTGCATCTGTCTCCCCATCTCCATGACCCACCCACCAAGGGCAAAAGCGCATCACCCTGTCCAGGGCGGCTTGCAGATGCGCGCAGGCCCCGCTCACTGGTGACTCAGTACAAGTGAGTCATTTGGCAAAAAAAAAAAAAAAAAGTCTGTTGTGTGTAAACAGGCTCACCTTCACCAAGGGGGTGAGGGGTAAGGAGTTAGATTTATTTTGTTTTCTTAAGAATCACAAAAATAAACCCAGCTTTCCAGGGCTCTTAACATGGAATTCCCAGGTCTTTCTAAGAAGGCATCCTGTGAGTGACTCGGTTTGCTCTCACGGCTGTCCCACAACACAGCTTCTCTGAACGGGATTCTTGGGATCACAGGCAAGGACCACACAGCTGCCTGGGCCCGGCCAGCCGGACAGGCCCCAGCTGGTGAAGACACCACACATTGCAGAAACACTGCATGCAAGGGTCACCCTCCCAGGCAAGCAGCAGAGCGTACAGATCCTGGGGCCTTGCAGGCTTCTCATGTGGATTCAGAGACAGCATGCACCTGCCACCTGCTCCTCCCCTTCAAGCACCCCAGGTTTATCGCTCTCTAATCGTCTCTTCGCCTTCTCCAAGAGATGATCAAGGTCAGGGTATCTATTTGCTGGATAGGGCTTATCTTGTGTAGTAATAGGAGGAGACCTGGGGAAAACCTGTGGAAAAGATGGGTCACACGGCAGAGGGATCCCAGCTGTTTTTTGTTTTGTCCTTCTCCCAGGACACAAAAGACAACAGCCAGAGGGGGAAGTGGTAGCTGACCTGGTCTTAAAGCTTTTGCAGCTTCGCCTGACTTGAACACTGTTTAGTTGTGTGATCAGACCATTAGTTTGTTCCTCTGTGCAACAAGGCTTGTTCTAGATGAGGGCTAAGGAGTGCTACAGTGAAGCTGGCATTGCAGCCATGCAAGTCACGTCTCTGCCTACATCACTGGTATCCCACAGGCCCAGGAATTTCGAGCCCCAGCAACTCCATTTCTGATCTAGCTCCCTGCTAATGTGTCTGGGAAGGTAGCAGAAGAAGCCCCAAGAGCTTGGGCCCCTGCACTCATGGGGGCAATCGAGGGGAAACTCTAGGCTCCTGGTGTTGGTCTGGCCCAGCCTTGGCTGCTGTAGCCATTTCGAAAATGAAGCAACAAATAGAAGATCTCTCAGTTTCTCTCTCTGAAATTCTGCTTTTCAAATAAATAACAAATACATCTTTATTTAAAAGAAAAATCTTTTGGTCCACACTAGCAAAGAGGTGCAAAACCTGTGTCTAGGGATAATTGCAGTGTTGCCTTCCCAGGGATCTGAAAATCCAGACGATCGTTTCACATGGCTAGGAAGAGATCCCCTCTGGAGCCAGCCAGATGTATCAGGTGCCAGCTCAAATCGAGTCCCATCCTGCAAGCTGAGTGATGTAGAATGAGCTGGGCAGGAAAGCAGCTCAGACCAAATTCCTGGGCCAAATGAGGAGTTGAGCATTCCTTACCCATTCAGCGACTGAGAGGGGCTGCCCCAAAGTGCATTCAGCAGGGTGTCCATTGCTTCCTCCACCTGCCCCAATGCTCCTGGATGTGGGCTAGGACATACCAACAAACAATGCCACTGTCCACCCACTCCCCACAAGATGCAATACCGTAACCCCATAGATGCATAAGCAGCATGGGACACTGATGCAGTTGCATGGGGTGGCTTCTTCCCCACACATTCCTTAGGAATTCCTACTGTAATGGCTCTGCCATTCTCTGATGTCTAGCTTCCAAAGTTGCCCTGGGGAACAGCATTCCAGAGGGGAAAACATGGTACTGTGTGCAAGGGAAGCTTTGGGGGACCAGTCCTGGAAGTGGCATGCTTCACTTCCTCTTAGAATCCCAATGGGACAGGCATAATCATGTGATTCACCCAAACTGCAAAGGAGGCTGGGAAATGTAGTCCAGATACATAGACCAAGAAAGAGGGGTAAGGAGGTTAGAGGAGATTCATCTCTGCACCCTCAGCTTCCTTCTTCCTACAACTAGGGTATTGAATTAAGTGAGATCCCAGTGCCCATCCACTTTAACATGGTGTGGTTCAGAGGAGAGTAAATGCCCTGGCACCAAGGTAAATAAGCCAGGTGTGTTCCTGCTACCCAAATGGGAGGCAACCTAGGGTTGGTCAACAGCTGCTGGGAAGGTACCCAGTGCTTTGCATGCTGCCTTCATTGTAGCCAGGTCTCTTAAAATGTTGCTTGCTGAATAGTGTGTCCAGGCCCTAAGGGTGGTGCCTCACAGATGTGTGCCAGTGTAGAGTGGCACTGCCTTGGTTGAGTTACAAAGGTAACCTCATGGAAGCAGCAGTTCAGCAGCAGTCCCAGCATGCTGATGACTCAAGGGCCCCAAGGGGGCTGACAGATCAATCAACAGAGATCTGGACTGCTGGAGGCAGGTGAGCTGTGCTAAGGCATCACTGTCTCCTCTGATACATCAGGCCTGCTTATCTCTTTTATGCCCTTCTCATCCATTACACTTGGGTCTGTTTGCTCATCCTCTCTTCTGCTCACCCTGCTTACCCTCCCATTCTGTGAATTGCTTTTTTGGGAGAAACCCAGGCCTTATGCATCATTGTATCCCTAGAACCCGACACGGGAACCTTCTCAATTTGATCAATAAATATTAACTAAGTCATCCGTCTATGCCTGGCTCTGTGTTAGGTACTGGTTGAGTCTCTGACCTCCTAGAGCTTAAAGGTTTGGAGAAGTGGAGATTTATCATAATGGAAGTGCCCTGAACAAGAGCACTGTGGAGGTGAGTGTTAAGTCTCCCTGCGGACATGAGCTTAATCACAATCCCAAAGCTGTTAGGCCACTGGCCAGGCAAAGAGAGGTGGGGAGAGCATGCACTGAGGCCTTGATGCAGAAACTACTTGGATCAATGTCAAGGATTGGAAAAAGGCCAGTGTGACCACAGCACAAAGGGTGAAGAGAACGCAGCAAGCAGCAAGGCCGGACACTGAGAGCCTCCTTACCAGGCAGACTGAACCACTCATTTCAAGGATTTTTGCCAAAAGATTTCAGAAAATCACTGTAAAGTTTTAAGTCAAGCAGAGGGGGCAAGGTAGTAATGGAGAGGAAGAGGCATAAAATATGAAGGAGACAGAGGTCAAGATTTCCTGAGATCCTGGTTTTCAGGATCAAATGGATGGAGATATCATTTACAAAGAGATGGCACAGGAGGCCAAAAGTAGGTCTTCAAGGTCAAGATCAGAGCTTAGTCTTGGAATTGGGTTTGGGATAACTTCAAGACATCCAGACAGCTGTGCAAAATATGAATTAGAATCCACAGACTTGGGACTGAGAGGTGAGGCCCAGGGTTAGGGTGTAGATCTGTATACAACAAGATGGGTCCACAGAAGGAAGAGGGCATAATCATCAAAGAAGAGAACTTGACAGTGAGTCCTACGGAGCCTCATGTGACATGGCTGATCCAGAATGGAGTCTGGAAAGGAGCCATGGAGAGGCAGGAGGGAACCCAGGAGAAGGTTATGTCAGCAGAGTAAAGGGAAGGAGACTGTGGTTAAGTGTGAAACATTGCCAAGGGTCAAATAAGGTGAAGACTGAAAATACCCATTGGATTAGCAACATGGAAGTCACTGGTGACCGCACTGGAGTGAGGTTTTTAAAGATATATTTACTTGTTTACAAGGAAAAGTTGCAAATAGACGGAGGGACAGAGAGAGGAAGAGAGGAAAAGAAAGAGGGGAGAGGGGCTGAGAGATAGTCAATGCACTGATTCACTCCCTAAATGGCCACATCTGCCAGAGCTGGGCCAGGCCAAAGTCAGGAGCATGGAACCTCATCCAAGTGTCCCACCTAAGTGGCAGGGGTCTAAGGATTTGGGCCATCTTCTGTTGCCTTCCCAGGTGCATAGGCAGAGAGTTGGGTCAGCACTCTGTAGACAGCAGCTTAATCCCCTGAGCTACAACAGCTAATCCCAAG